CACAGGTTGAAAGTAGGAAGGGGTGTGAGAGAAAAAAAGTTTAAAGAAACCCCTGGTATAAGGAATATAAAGTGTGGGTTGTGCTTTGACTCATTTCCTAAGCATGAGATAGGATTGTTACTAGTCACTGAGAAATCCTATATTTTTTTAAAAAAAAACAAAAACCTTAAGAAACCACATTGACCTGTAACTAAAGCTGTTAGATATTTACAGTCCGTTCTGCAAATCATAAAATCTTGCATGGATAACATAGATACAAATCTCGAAAACAACTTATTAAGTAAAATATCCAGGGATTCCTTTGTTGAACTTCTGCTTATCTGGATATATTCATTTGAAATCTGGCTGTCTGAAGTGGAATTCAGTTTCTTTACAATCTCAGCATCTTTAAAACTAAGCTGCACAGATGCACTTAGTTGAACAAATTCTGGTTACTAAGCAGCCACCTCTATATAGACAAAACTTTCAATACAAGCCAAGGTAATTTTTAACAATACCTTTGTGTAATGAGTGAGGATTTGATAGCTAAGATAGATGAATTCTTCTTAATTCTCTGGCAAAACTATTTGTCAAAGTCTCTTAAATCAGGTTGCCAGTATTAGTGTCAGAAATCCTTCCAAAAATTGAGACAGACTAAAATACAGGTAATCCTCTACTTATGACCGCAATTGAGTCCAGCATTTCCAATTGCTAAACAAAACAGTTGTCAAGTGAGTTTTGCCCCATTTTACTACATTTCTTACTCTAGTTATTAAGTATAGCAATAGCAATAGCACTTAGACTTATATATACCACTTCACAGTGCTTTACAACTCTCTCTAAATGGTTTGCAGAGTCAGCATATTGCCCCCAACAATCTGGGTCCTCATTTTACCAACCTCGGAAGGATGGAAGGCTGAGTCAACGGGTTCACTACTGAGTCAACCTTGAGCCAGTGAGACTCGAACTGCCAAACTGCTGGCAGCCGGCAGTCAGCAGAACTAGCCTGCAGTACTGCATTCTAACCACTGCGCCACCAGGGGTCCTAGTGCAGGGTTATCAACCTTTTCACAGATTGTACCACTTTTAGGACTTGACAGTATTCAAGTACCATCAGTGCTTAGCAAGGTGTCAAAAACTTGATGACCAAAAAAGAAGGAAAACGTACCAGTTTTAATTTGGTGGCAGTTCCTTTGCTGAATCACTTTCCCTTTGCACTGACGAACATATGCTGAATTTATCTATATTTAGTAATATGCACCACTACCTTGGTGGTCAGGTGGCTGGCCGGCCCTTCTTCCTCTCTCCCTCTCCTTTCTCTCTCTCTCACAGCCTCTACTCCTTTGTTGATCCCTCTGCTTGTCTCACAGAAGCCTCTCCTCTTCTCCCTCTCTCTCTGTTCCCCGTCCCCTTCTCTTTCCCCATCGTCTTTTTTCTCTCTCTCTTTCCCAAAACCTCCTCCTTTTATATCCTCTCCTCTCTCCCTCCTCCTCCTCCTTTTCTCTTCTGAGTGCACCTCTCTGGGGCTTACGGTGAGCTCCAGTGTCAGTCACTACCCCAGTCTCACTCCCCCATGCAGTTACCCACTCCCCAGCTGGCCAATGCACACAGTGCTGATCAGCTAGAGCTGCGTGTGCCGGTCCTGGGCCCTCAGTAGAGCCCCAGCAACACCGCAGTTCCAGCTAACTCTACCCTCAGTCCCCTTGTAATGGTCACTAAATTAATAGTTGTAAGTTGAGGACTATCTGTAATGCTGTTGGGGGCCTCCGGGCATACAAAATTAACTACTGTTTGTTTATATCCTTTGGGGCTTCATGGACAAACGGGTTCACTATTGAGATCAAAATAATGTCTATTTGAAAGACATTTCCTTTTAAAACATGATTGTCAATAAAGCTACTGCTTTGGCTATGTCTACCATCCAACTCTGAATACCCCTTGTCATGCTTTATGCAAGTTCATTTATTGGCTCACGTACCATTGAATATAGTTTTCCTGTTTGTTTAGTGAACTGGTGAAATATCTAGGGAGATGGGATAAAAATGGCACTATAGGTAAATCTCTGATGAATATGGGAGATTTCAAAATATGAAATATGCATAAATAAAAATAAAATAAAGTTATGCATCATCATGAAATTGTCTCATTGTTATTTCTTTAACCGGCTTATGTGCCTACAGCTGTTTACAGCTGTTTTCAGTAATTTTTGAATAAAAGGAGCCGTTTATCCATTACAATAATAAATGATTTTCAAATTTGAGGCATATTAAGTATGCATTTAGGGTATCCTTTTTCCATCTTTGTAATTATGGCAATTTATGGATTACACATGCAAATTTCTAACTATTTGACTGCAGGGAGCTTATCTTATTTGGAGCATAAAACTATTATAATAGGATCTGAGAGGAAGAGATTTAATATTTTTGCTGTAGAGTCCCTATTTGTCATGTTGTGTTGTGTAGCTTAGAGCTGGCAATTGTTTAATCACAGCAGACTAATGGAAAAAGATACTTTGGTCCTTTCTCTGCCAGAGTTTGATCACCATTATTGAAGGATAATCACCTTTCCATCTGGCACAAAATAATTGAGTCAGCTTTTGAAGTGTTATTCTTTCTTCAGTACATTTCCACTATCACAGTTTTACTTCAAAGCCACAATTTAAAAGATCACTCCTGGGTGGTAGTCTTGGTTAAAATAAATTATTGGGTGGAAGCTATATCGATAGATGTTGAATTACCATAGCCTGGCTGCCTAAATTCAGAAGACCACTTGATGGCAGCTAAGAGTTAGATTTTTCTATGTATCTCTCCTGCCACCTGGTGTTCACCCAGGTTTTGCACCCCAGTTGTAGCCTTAATAGAGTTGGATTGGGTTTGCAATTACAGAATTTTGGGTCTTAATTTTTATTTGCATTTCCAGGTGTATTACTTAAATGGAGCATTTGTTTCATAGCTGAGGTATAGAAATAATGGTTTTTATCTATATATATACTTTTCTGCTAATTTTATGTTAACTTGGTGTATTGAGGCAATTCATAATATGGAGCAGTGATAGAAAACATACATCACATTGCTATCTCACAAATGCCCTTCACTACTTAAGGAAAAAGAAATAGATGACAATTTGGGATGAAATTTTGAGTGGTGACCTAGACTGCATTTTAGAATGGAATTGCACTGGCAAAAATTGCAGTGGTATGTGGAAACAACCTTGGGGGTGGGGTGTGCTGGGGTGCAGGAAGGAATACTTTCTAGGGAACAATCTGATAAGAGAGTGCATAGTTCATAATTACATAATGGACAGAGAAAGAGACTTAGAAATGAACTTCCCTAATTTCTCATGCTGGGAAAAAATACAGTGGAAGATTTACTTCCAAGATTCGGTTAATCTAGCCTTGTATGTAGCCTATATTACATAAAGCAGAATTTGCCCAACTGGTTATGTTTCCTGTTTGTCTACCTAGGAAGGTGGAAATATTTGTATGGCTACTGTATGATAGGATCAAGCAATATTTAGTAATTGTTATATTGTACACTGCCATGTGTTGTTAATTTTTTAACTTGGCAGTGGGAAGTTAAAATTTTTACAAATCTATAAAGAGGGCAAAAATTACGTATTTCACATTATAACACTCCGTTCTATCGCTGGTGTTTGTCTATACAAAAAATGCATATTCAAGAATAGTGAAATACATTGTGTAATGTGTGTATAGACAACAAGATACGTGCAGTGAGTATAGTCAGATCAAGGAACAATTAAGAATAATTCTAAACAATTAAGAGTAAAAGAGGGAAAGAAAACGAAGATGATGGAGATGACAATCAGAATAACAAAGTTGGGAGGAACCCTGGAGGTCTTCTAGTCTACTCCCCTTCTCAAGCAGGAAACCCTATACCATTTCAGACAAATGGCTGTCCAGTCTCTTCTTAAAAACTTCCAGTGTTGGTGTACCCATATCTTCATTTTGTCATGAAGTAAAACAAGGGGTCACAGCAGAGAAGCAATGAAAAGATTTTAGGATGCAAATGCTAGAAGGATAAATGATAAACACTTAAATAGGGTTGATCATGGTATGTTGAATTAAATTCTATACATCTTGGTGTCAAAGAAAAAAAGAATGAAAAGAAAAGAATAAATGTTGAAAAATGGCAAGGCTGCAGGTGTAGATGGTATAACTGGAGAAATGTTAAAATATGTACTGTGTGTGTTTTCCTTATCTAGTGGTTGTATAGTAATGTGTGCAAAGAGTGCCACCTACAACTTCTTTTGGAACAGGAGGCTCTTCTGACAGTCCATTCATGCCCTAATCACCTCTTGTTTGGAATATTGCAATTGGGCTGCCCTTGAAGAGCATTTGGAAGCTATATATACTTGGCCACTGCATGACCTCTACTTCCAATTGTTTAGACCGTTCCAACAAATTCAAATAGTGCAGCCTACTCTGTATTCCTTCTCTTAGGAAATGTCATCACAGGGACCATGGAAGTAAGTCATCTCAGTAGCTGCTTCCCATGTCCCAAGAAATCTCAATAGCTCCTATCTTAATGGTTTTTAGGAAGGTCATTAAAAGTTGGTAATAAAGCACTTCTCGTGACTAGGACTACTCTGTCTAGTTATCAAATTCATTTTTCTGAAATGAAACTTTTCTCTCCAGATGTCTGTGGAGATTCTCAGTCCTCTATCCAAAGATGCTTTTCCAAAAGGCAACAACTGGACTTCCTTGGGTTTTCCTTGAAAATGTTTTTCTTCTCATTCAAGAAATTCGGAACTGAAGAAGCTTCTTGGATGAGAAGTGAAACCTTTTCAAGGAAAAAACCAAGAAAGTCCAGTTGCCTTTTGGAAAAGCACCTTGGGGATTTTCTCTCCAGATGTTCTCTCTCCAGGAGCTCAGCCAACTTTGAGACAGCGTGTGCTGCAATTTTAAGCAAAGCTCCTTCCACTCTGAAGAGTTTTGACTTAAAGCTTCATAACAATTTATTGTGCAACCTAAATTTTCTTTCCTCGCTTCTTGTTCCTTCAAGGTGTACAAGGGAGACGAGACAACGTACCAAATCTCAGGCCTTCAGGTGAACACAGATTATAGATTTCGCGTGTGTGTTTGCCGCCGATGCTTGGATACCTCACAAGAACTTAATGGACCTTTCAGCACTTCTGTTGCCTTTATTCTCCAGCGGAGTGAGCTAATGCTTACTGGGGAACTGGGAAGAACCGATGACCCCAAGACTAAATGTATGATGCCTTCTGATGAACAGTTTGCAGCCCTCTTAGTCCTCGGCTTTGCAAGCGTCTCTATCTTATTTGCTTTTATACTACAGTATTTGTTTATGAAGTAGAGAGTTCAACACAAATATTTGAGGTATCGTTTTAATTAATGCTTCATACTATAATCAATATGTTTTATTCAGATAGTCCTCTTTATTTTTTCAGTGCATTTTTTTCTGGTTTATCGTCGTCGTTTTTTAAGGGGTGGCGGGGGGAATGACAGTCCTATTTAGAAAATAAAAAATCGACATTCAGGTGCACCTTTTGGACATTCAAGGTTAGGAAATGGTTGAATATATCCAAGCCAGAGACCAAAACAAATATTTAACATTTGGATGTTCTTTGCCCTGCTCCTGTGATTTTATTCACTTAACTAGTTTTTATTTTCAGAATGTAGAAATGTAACCAGTTTGCCTTCACGTTTTTGCCTTAGTGCTAAACTTGTTGCAGTCTTTAAGTTGCAAGTTTATTACATTAGAATAACCGCTTTAAGCTCCTCTGAATTTGCAAGACTTACCCATCATTATGTAATAGCATTGCAGCTAAGCATTCCGCAATGCATCTGTTGCACAAGTCGTTAATTATAAATATCACATATGGTATTCATTACATTTATTTTCTCTTCAACCCTCATACCACAAATTTTGCATTGTTTTTGCGTTATCCCCATGGGGGGAAAATTAATCTCAATTATGTAATCAACTGTATTTTTACCACATTTCAATCCCGATAATTTATCTTGCAACCTAAAGTCTTCTTTGAATTGTAAACATTTTATTCAAGCTGTTTGCGCGCTATAAATTCCTGTATAACAAATCTGATAACCCAGATAGCTTTATCAATGGAAAAGCATTACCATTCTACCATTTTCTTTATTTTATAGCAGTAAATTTAAGAGGGCATTGTGCAATAGTTATTCTCATGTTCAGCTGTTTTTATTTTGTTTAAAGAAAAGCTGCTTTTAACTAGTTTGTTTGCCTTTGTATATAAACTTACTTTTAATCCAATCACTAGATTTATTATATTCATCGTGATCTTATGTGTTTATAACTGGCGAAAGCTTGCTGCCTTTGCTATTTAAATTAGATTGTTACTTTTTATCATAAGCAAACTCTCAATCAGCCTTGTAAGAAAAAGGTCCATCTGCATTTCAGTTTTGGAAAAAACATGGTAAATTCATATAGACACCTCAGATGCTAAATACTGTAAGTAGAGCTGACATAAAAAGGTGCCATTTCTTCCATCTCCTTCTCCTCCTCTCCTTTCTTCTTAATGGCATCTCCTATTACAAAATATGTCATGTAATATCCATTCATTTCCCTCTTCGATTTCATTAGCTGCTGCCTTCAGAAGTGATGGTGAGAGGGACACCATAGTTCACATGACAACACACTATGCGCATTGTAATAGTAAAGCAAAACAAGCGTAACAGTGCTGTGTTACAAAGCATCAACCTCAAGCATTATTGGTATTTCCAGGAATGCCTCTGAGACGTTCTCCAGAAATTCATTGAATGGCTGCTGGCTACATACCCATGCTGGCTTTATCTTCAGGCAAATTAATATATTACAATTGGCCACTATAGTTTGTGAATGCCCTTATTCCACACTCAAAATTCCAGGAATGCTCACTGGCCCTCAAATTTTGGAGATTCCTTTAGTGGCCATGGCCAAAAGGAGATGACAAAGAGGAGATGTGAAGCAGCTGGTTTCAGCAGCAGCTGCCATCTTGACACCCAGCTCTAGTTTCAGCTAGTGTTCATATCATAAGGATCAGGTGTGGTCCACTGAAAACCTAGTGTCATTCTTGTTTGGGACATTGTATGTGCTTTTACATCAATTGCCAAGGCATGTTCATTCAGTCCATCAAATCCCTTGGTTATTCTTATTGTTTTAAGAAAAAAAATGCTTTGAATCAGTGGGTTATTTTTATGACTTCTAAGTGCCTCAGGGATATTGAGCAGGAGGTGCAAAGTAAATTACACGTGGAAATGCACAGAGCTACAATTTACTAGGAACCTCTCCCAGATTGTGCTGTTACAACTCGAGAAGCATTGCTACAGAGTTCACTTCCACTAAACCAGTGTTTCTCAACCTTGACAATTTTAAGGCATGTGGACTTCAACTCCCAGAATTCCACAGCCAGCATTGCTGGCTGTGGAATTCTGGGAGTTGAAGTCCACATGCCTTAAAATTGTCAAGGTTGAGAAACACTGCACTAAACAGAGGTGCACAACACTATGCCCTTCCCACAAAGCCTCATAAAAGGCCCCCTGCAGAGATTTTCAATGTTAGTTTTTTTAACTACTGGAATAGGGAGGGACTGGGGGAGTAATCATATCAGCTCTATTTAATTTTTTTAAGTCAATTGAAATAAAATGTGCACTCTTTCCTTAAAGCCTGTGCAGGAAAACAAAAAAAAAATGTGATCCGGTAGTTCCTGATCTAGCTCTGCATGAATTGGAAGAGTTCCCCGTGAATTGTGTCCCAGATTTCGTGTACCCTTGCATTCAAACAAACAAATAGTTCTGTATATTTTTGATCTCCTTTGGGTTTCGCTTGCATTGTCCTTTGTTTTTTTGTGTTTTTTTTTTGGTTTTCTGTTTTGCTATCATACAGGGCGGCACGATGGCTTAGTGGTTAAGATGCTGGGTTTGTTGGCTGGAAAGCCAACAGCCCGGGTTTGAGACCCGAGCATCCTGCAGTTGGGTGAGTACCCGTCTTCGCCTAACTCCTGCCCACCTAGCAGTTTGAAAGCATGCAAATGCGAGTAGATAAATAGGTACCACTTCGGTGGGGAGGAAATAGTACTCTGTGATGTCATGCTGGCCACGTGACCGCAGAAACGTCTTTGGACAGCGCTAGCTCAACGGCCTTGAAACAGAGATGAGCACTGCCCCCTATAGGCAGTGACAACTAGCGGAGTTAAAACTCGCAGAGACTCCTCCCTTCCTTCCTTTGCTACGACACAGTGTCCTGTACTATTCATTCATCCCCATAACCAAAGTAATGGGGAAACCAACATTATTTTTGTTTTAGGATTATTTATACTATATACTGCATTCAGTACTTTAAAATGCCAATTAAAGTGCAATCACATTATTTATTGTAAAAATAAAAAGTGTACTTATGTACTAAATCTCTCCCCTTTCCCCTCTGACCCCTAGTAGCATACTATTTTTCTATTTTGTTTTATGTAAGTATAATTTAGGTAAAATGTTTTCATTTCCCAGCACCATTCCTAGTATTAACCTTCTTATAGTATATTGTATGTTTAAAAATGGGAGTGTTTATGAGTTGCCAAAAAAAAAAAAGAAGAATAAAAATGTACCCAAATATCCTGCACGCAAATAAATACCATGCGGGGACCACATCCATTCCATCTGCGGTACATTGAGAACAATCATCTTCAAAGTTTACATGTAGCCAAAAAAAAAAAATCATAAGCATCTTTTGAAATAATAGTTTGAAACTGATTATTCTGTGTGCCTCTCTTGATGTAGCAAACTAGTACAAAGGTTCTTTATTTTTTCTTTCCTAATGTTAGTATGCATATTTGCCTAGCAAACAAATGATATGGAGCTATTTTCTTCTTTTTAAATCTCCTCTTCTCGCCGGCTCCAGTTTTGGCCTTGGCAAATGTGGTATTGTTGTCATTGTTTAATTCAACTTTATTCCTTTTATATAATACTTGGTTGTCTTCAAATATAAAATTATTTTTAAAAAAGGTAGCAAAATTTTAAAGAATGTAGATAGCATTAGCTGGGCTTCGATCTCCTTTCAATCATTGGGAACAATTAACTAGGAGTCATCGGAAACCTGTTCGTTGTCATGGTTCTGAAACCCTTTCCATTTTTCTGGATCGGGGGCAATCCATTTGGAAAGCCACACCTTTGTAAAACAGCTGTTGTCACTTTTACCGTGCCTTGTGATTATCAGCCCACTGCCATAACAATCCTTACCATTTTCGATTAGAGAAGAAACTTGCTGCACATGCTCTCAAAGCTTGCAGACAAAGCCAGTCATGTTGGCCAGTCATAGAAGCATAAGTCCTTTAGCTGGAACTTTTCCCATTGATTTCAGTGGGGCTAATGCCAGGGGTCAGGAGAAGAGGAGAAGACAACTTTGTCTGCAGGAAGTGGAGGGAGATTCCCATCAGAGCCAATCAGCGCCCTTAGCCCTCTGGTTTCAAGATCAATACTTTCTCTCCCTTTAAGGGAGAGAGTTAATTACACCAGCTGATGGATTAGAATAATGAACTCTTTTGAGCTAAATTGTAGTTCTGATGGCCTTTTGCAAAGTGATGAAGACATAGGGAGAGTGGGTAATAGTTGGGAGCTCCACCATGGATGAATATGTCTAACAGGTTGTATTTTTGTTGAGTCTCAGTGGGGTTTAAGTTGATTTTTGTTGTAATGTAATTTTTTTGTTCACTGCCCAGAGTTCCTCAGATAGATGGGCAGCCATATAAATCCAGTGGATAAATGTGAGGGTGATCTGGTGCAACATCTGTCACCCTATTGATTACCAGATTTGATTTGGCTGATCTGTCTGGCTAGGTGGGTGTCCCCCTCCTTCTTTATCATTCCATGCTTCTCCTTCCTGAAGCTGTGCTCGGTGGGACAGGACAACCATCTCAGATAGAAGTGTATAATCTTCAGCCAATAAATAAGGAAGGAAGGTTAGGAACCTGGAGACTGCCCTCGGTTGTGGGTCTCATTGTTGGCAGAACACCAATCCTGGGAGGGACCATTTTAATCCTACCCAGAGTAAATGTCTCTTAAAAGACATCATTCTCTCCAGCAATAAGGAAGTTCACCAACTTCTAGTGCTCCCATGAACCATCATGAGGAGAAGATAGGATTGCTTCTTTAGTCCAGAGCCAACCATTCATGCGTTTAGACAAAAAAAGTCATTTTGTGCAAGATTAAAGAAAAGTGATCTGAAGAAAGGTCAGGTGTGTTTCATATTTTTATTGAAGATTCCACATCTCCCCCCATTTGTGTATACGTACCATATACATGCCAATGCATTTTAATTTGCCAAGTTAGATTGAATCAGATATCATTGGTTATCTTGTAACCCCTTTCAATTTCTAATGCAACCATTCTGTAAAAGATAATTCCACCCATTCCTGTTTCAATTTCCATAACCTTCAGTTTATT